CATTCATGGACGGCCCCTAAGATCACTGCTACATTGTTTTTATAACTTTATTTGGAAACCTGCCTCCGAGTCGTCATTCACCACAACATATTCATAATGGGCCCCAAGCGTGGTGATAGTGTTTATTTATTTAAGTTTTGTTTACGTATTCTTACGTTTATTTTTGTTTATTTTATTTCTGTTTAGTTAGGTTTTGCACGTACGTGTTATAGTTTTACCGTCGTTATTTGCATGTGCGTTTCTCGCCGGCCAAAATTAAATGTGCAAGCTAAATATAAAGGCTCTCTGTTTTTACATTCGTCCATGTTCTGGTCCCTCACCAGACGAAAGTGCAAGGTGTTCCTGTACCTGGTGGGCTGTGTAAACACCGCCACTAGGGGGAGACAAAGGCGGCCGGGCGTGGTGCTGACCACCCACTCCCTTCGTGTGCCGTGCCGGCCTTCATCGGCGGTTTGCTAGCAGCACTTGCCACAACAGCCTGTTTTGGGAATACGTGGGATCGTCGTTGTGTGCGTGTCTGTGTCTGTGTGCGTGTCTGTGTTTGTGTGCAATTGGGAGGTGGTCCCCCTTCCGACAAGCAAGTCAACGTCAGGGACTTAATGTTTCATTTACTTTTCAGTATTATTAAAGTATTGAGTTTCACAATGCTTACCTTTTGGTGAACTTTAACATATTTTGTAAAACAGTCCTATATGTACATTTAAATATTGTAGGTACATGATTGCGTTACAACTTACGAACAGTTCCGGATACGAACGGGTCTGAGGAACGGAACCAGTACATGTCGATAACCATCCCGTGCAGTAATTTAGCACTTAATTAGCTAGTAGTCACATCACAAATTCAATGTCAAATTCAAACTAAGACGGGGCGAAAAAATGTCAAAAAGAGCAATGTAAAAATATGTTACGAGTTAACATAGCAGAATCACAAAAATAAACTGCCAATAATTTACTATCAGATGCCTATACAGAGTGCTTCGCTACGTGAACAAAAATGGCACCCTACCATCTAAACACATAAAGCAAGACAGCGGGCAAGCAGGGTCACAGGTAGCGATTGTGGGGCGCGACGTCCACCCTGACGTCCACCTTGACGTCCACCCTGCCACCCTCGCTGGGCAGGTGGGGCACGACGTCCACCCTGACGTCCACCCTGGCGTCCACCCTGCCACCCTCGCCGGGCAGGTGGGGCACGACGTCCACCCTGACGTCCACCCTGACGTCCATCCTGACGTCCACCCTGCCACCCTCGCCGGGCAGGTGGGGCACGACGTCCACCCTGACGTCCACCCTGCCACCCTCGCTGGGCAGGTGGGGCGCGAAGTCCACCCTGACGTCCACCCTGCACCCTCGCTGGGCAGGTGGGGCACGACGTCCACCCGTTGCGCTCCTTCACCACCGCGTCGGTCAACTCCCGCCAGGCCCCCGCTGAGCGAGTGACGGGGGCCCCCGATGCTCGCGCTGCTGGCCTCGGAGCCACACGGGGCTAAAATACACGCCCGTGCACACCACAGCTGCCACTATTAGAGGGGCCGCGGAGCGCGCTATTACCTGCGAGCGCGCTCACACCTGAGCGATTACCTCACTCGCGCAAGACATGGTGACGATCCCGCGGTCACCACCCCGCGTTCACTCTCGCCGCATGTTCCCCCACCGCCACCGAGGACTCGGCTTGCACACGCAGTCGCTCCACACAGAAATTGCAGACACCACACCATCGACGGTCTGTGCTAACTTTTATTCTCGGCGCAAACAACAATCCCTTAAAGCTGCCCAGTCGGCACTACCGGGGGGAGTATCTTGCGAGAAAAGCCTAGGCCTACTGCCGTCTGCGCTCCTGCTCACCCAAGCGTCCTACCATGTACCTCGTAGCCGTACTCGCGGCGTCACACGGACGCTGTGAGAGGCGGAGGGAAGAGGACGAGAAAGCCTTTCCTAACACGGCCTCGTAGTGGCGAATGAGTGTCGAATACACACTGCCTTTCTCGCTTTTTCCACCCCGGCTTCCCAGATGTCGTGAATGACTCATCGCGGCTGGCCCGGTAATCTTTTTGCGCCCATACACTATTAAGCCAACTCAGGGGCACCGCGATGTGACTTGTCCTGCGAGGGTCGGCCAATCCCCTGGCACCGGGAAACCGTGGGACTTTCCTCATAGGAACCCTTCGGATTAAAACCCGTTGTGCCAAGCAATCCCACGCCAGGACACTACGTGTGTGCGCTGTGTGTGTGTGTATTCAGTGTGTGGTCGCGGAGTTTGCAGAGTGGCTTCGAGGCCGTGGCACCACACAATCCCTGCAAACTCCAGCATATGTGTGTGTGTGTGAAAGTGAGTGTGCGCGCATGTGTTTATCTGTCTTTCTTTGTGAACCCGAACAGTTTGACTTTTGAACAGGCCTCAGGAATAAGGAACCCGTTCGTAAGTCGGGGGACTGCCCGCACTTTCATTTGCGTGGCCTTTCTTTCTTTGGTCCATTGCGGGATGATTTGTGCGCGCCGGCTTTTTTGGTTTGATTTTCCCGGGCAGGCTTCGTTGGATGCCCAGGCATCTTCACATCGGGCTCCTGTCGGTTCTGCTCTTCCGCAGCGTCCAATCCCTTTTCCATGTCGGGGGCAGACGTTGATTTTTTATTTCGCGTGAAGCACATTACTGAACATAAAAGGGGACAAGGGAGTAAACGGGTTAGTGTGAGCCACTAAATGCACATGCATGTAAGTATCTGTAGTTATCTATTTGTGCATGTGTGGGTTTTTCTCCGGGTCACTCTCTGCCTGCATCTTTCCGCGTGTATCTTTGTACGTGTCTGACACTATCCGTGCCTATAGCTGTCTGTGTCCTTCGTGTCTCTCAAAGTGTTTGTAAACGTGTCTCTGTGTCTCTCTAGATCTTAAGAGATTGAAAACGAATTTCTTTAAGAAACTGCTCGTTGTTGTGTTTAGTTTGCTGTCCTTAACCCCGCCCCTCCGATTAGCACTGTTGGCTACGGAAATGTGTGAAAGAAATTCAACATACACACATCTCCCACGATGATCTGCAGAGGATTCTACTTGTTGTTAAAAACGGCTCTGCTATCTGGAGGAACAAGCTAAAGGCTCACCGATGCAGAAGACGATTAAGCATAGCATGGCTGGCACGATCACGATCAGTGCAATCACGCTGGTCTTCGTGGGCTCAAACTCAGGGTCGTAGTCTGGCTCTGGGATGACGTCGGGATCGACGTCGTCCAGAACCTCCAAAGGTGCTCGCCGTTGCTTTTCCAAAATAGTTCCTGTAACACAAAGACAAAGATAAAGGTCCCCCGTGTAGCCTTAACAGACTGTCGGGGCAAGTGCTGTTAGCGAGCACCTATGAAGGCCGGTAACGGTACACGAGGGGGTGGGTGGCCAGCACCACGCCCGACCGCCTTCGTCTCCCTAGTGGCAATGTTTACACACCGCACCAGGTACTCATTTGAGGCTGAGTCGTTCTAGAGGAGGCCCGGTTCAGATAATCGTCACAGGTTTTGGCCGTGAGCGGGAATCGAACTCGGGTCGCCGGGTTCATAGCGCAGCGCGCTAACCGCTACACTACCGCTCCCCACTTCCTGTAACACATACATGCATACACGCGCAGGTGAGTTAGTGACGTTTACAGACTTAAAAAAAATTCCTCGAACATTTTTACATCATTGCTTTTTGTAAAAACCTAGCAGAGTGAATTTAGACGTATCCTTGGCAGCAATGTGCAATGGCTGTATCTACGTTGAACTTCTTTCACACCGTAACGTAGCCACCGTGCTAATCGGAGGTGTGGCGGGCGGGGGGCGGAAGGACAACAAACTAAACACAAACATCAGCAATGTTTAAGAAGGCAGAAGCGTCGGGCGATACGGGCCGGGAGCAGCAATCTGGACAGCGCTGCTTGAAGGGCTCCATGCAGAAGTTGTGAGCAAATCTTTTTGGCTATTCTCACACTCGTGAGGTTGCTCTGCTGTGACATTTTTGAAGGGTTTCTCTGCCTCCTGACAATAATGCCCAGAGTGCACCAGGAAAACAATTCAGAAGACAACGAAGTGCCTGTAAAGTGTATTCTTTTTTACTCGGCTTGATATGGAGACTTAGTAATGACATGGTGACACTTTTTTTAAAAAATGTTACTGCGCTGACGTCACCACAGTGCGAGCTAAATTCATTGTTCCTACAATTTTGATTTAAAGCTTTCGTGACTGCAGGGATTCATATTCTTGGTTCTTTCGGTAAAGTCACGTAGAAGGGAAAAAGAATATAATAGAAAAATATATTATATTTTTTATTATTTTATTGTTTCCCTTCTACGTGACTTTACCGAAAGAACCAAGAATATTTTTGATTTATATATATTATTATTTTATTGTTTCCCTTCAACGTGACTTTACCGAAAAAAACAAGAATATGAACCAAGAATATGTTCCTACAATGTTTCTGCTTGTTGCTCTACCCCTGCCTGGTTATGCAAATTGAGCATCTCAAGGCATTGCACATGCATGGAACGATGCATAGATTTTAATGAGTAAAATTAATACTTCGATTCATCGTACTTGGATTGCAAGGACAATGCGACAGATTTTACGAGAGTCATATTTTAGGAGTGATATAAATTGCACGCAGTGAGGCATTCCTGAAGTTATAACTCCAGGATGACGTACTTTCACAATAAGACAGGCAGACTTCCTTATTCTCTTTCTGGCAGGATTCGCAGCGCAGGGCAGATACATACGTGGGTTCTGCGGACAAAAAAAACACATGGACGGAGTTAAAAGGCTGTTGATGTCTGCAGATTGCAGGGAAGATTGGGGTCACGAAAGTTCACGTGATGGAACCAGATGTCACGTGCATTTTCAGTAGGGGCAAATGTAAACGCTACGAAGTTCCATTTATCACCTTTTTGATTGATTTTTTATTCGCTTTTTTTCTCAAATAGAGATAAAAATATGAAACCAATTTGTACGCATGTTGAACTGCTTTCGCACCGTACATAGCCAACCGTGCTAATCGGGAGGTGCAGGAAGAAGGACAACGAACTAGACACGTACATTTCCTGCAGGAATGTCGGTCATGTGGTTTGACCATTTACTCGTCACACCGTTCAATGCGAGTTGGTGACCGTGGGGGGGATTAGGTTTCGGTCGTGGCATCAGGATCGGTTTGGATGTCACCCACCGGTGACGTTACACATGACCAGCGATCAAACTCAGGCAGTGGGGTTCGTGGCACTGCCCGAACCGCCGCGACACCCACACGATAAGAATGATAAACGTTTACTTGCCCAGTCGAGTGTGTCAAGCAATTGCATTTAGAACACGGTGAGCGAGTTTAAGGTCGAAATAAGCGACATGTGATGACTCCAAGCAGTCTGTTACGTTCAGGATAAGACTAAAAACAAAACTGTTGTTGAGCAGGGCCCTACATTTAGATGTTTGGCCAATTCCACGCAAGACCGTTTGGCAGGAAACAAGTGCACTTGGAGACTGTGCCTGCACATGAGTTGAGAACACTCAAGAGCTCAACACGAGTTGACTCCTCGATACGTTGCTGTGCTGCCGTCACGCCACGACTTCGTTAAAATTGGGCTTTACTTTCAGGTAATCCTTCATTATATTATTCAGTTAGAATATTACAGTAGATCATCGATTGTCCGGTGGCTTCGGGGGGCAGGGGGCGCCGGGTTTTCAAAAACGCCAGATAAACAAATCACTATTTAAAATTGCTTATTTTTGCACGCTGTGTTTTTCGGTGTTGTGCATGTGCTTTTACGTTTTAAATTTGTTTACTACATAACATTTGCATAAATATCCTACTCTAAAATAAAAATCCTAATAAAAAAAGTGACTATTTACTGTACCGTACTTACCACTCTAATCTCGAAGACGGGAGTATACACATGAAGCATTTTCATTGTTTAAGTTGTATGTATGTAGTGTATAATGTACCGTATATATTTCACAATGAAATCAAGCATAGCTACCTTTTTTGTCACGCCAAACGGTGCCTCTGGAGGGGTTTTGCCAAATCGGCCCGGGACTGCCGGATAATGTGGGAAGCTGCCGGATAATCGAGGATCAACTGTATTTGGTCAATTGTCAGCAGGTTTAGCCTGTACATGTGAAGTTGGTGCAGGTTTTCCGGATAAAAGCCGGGGGGAAAGTGTTGCATTCAAAGCCAAACATTTGCCATGACAATGTTAGAATGTTGGGCAAGCGCCATTATCAAGCGCATGGTGACGTCGTCGTTGACGTGCTTGAACGAGCGTGATGCTGAAGCCGACAGTCGGTAGCGCTCGCTCACATTTCCAGAATAACGGTCGGACCGTTTTGGCCTCATAAATTGTCCACGCACACGGGCACATGCACACATGCGCGCACGTACATACACAAATACAAAGTTCGAGCACCTATGAAGGCCGGCACGGCACACAAGGGGGAGTCGACCTAGGGGAGGCCCAGGACTGGTTCAGATCATCATCACTGGTGTTGGCCGTGAGCGAGAATCGAACTCGGGTCGCCAGGTTCGCAGCGCAGTGCGCTAACCGCTAAGCTACCGCTCCCCTGACACATACACACACACGCACACATGCGCACACACGTATGCATACTGTCTCATGTGATAAGATGATAAAGACGCAGTCACGGCACCCATACCGTCTTACAGAATCGCCTACATATATGTAGAGTAGTAGTTAGTGACGTCATGTCACGCTCGCCCTCCGGTACGATGACGTCACGTATGGTGACGTCATGGACAGGGGGCGGGACGGTGACATGTCCCCCTGGGACATTTAGGTTGGGACCCGTGACGTGTTCGTGGTCGTTGCGGGGAGCCAGGAACGTGTGAAGTTGGAAGTTGGGACCCAGGGTAGGGGGAAATTGGCACCAGGCTAGCGTAGCCTGCGGATGCTAGGGAATCCCCAGTACCCTTCCCCTGGGGGAGCGATGAGTGAGCGTGCAGTACACGGAGTCATGAATGAAGAAAAGTCCTTAATAAAACAACTGGCACAAGCCCCTACATGAAGATCTGCCTCCGAGTCGTCATTTACGCCTCAACATATGTACAGGTGTACACAATCTTACCACAGACAGGGCATGACGGTTCCTTCGAAGCTGAAAAACAAAAAGGAAAGGACAAAACGTAACGGTTAGTTAAATTATATTCGCATTAGTTGCTTAACAACAGTCACAAATCCCATACATCACCACCACACACAGCAGGGAGTGTAACCAGTTAAGGGTGAAAGTGTCCTGCTCATGCCACTGCTGGCTAAAGGGCCTCCACTCGAGGTACAGAGATCCCGTCTACAGAGTATTTGGCCTACTCTTCCAAGGTGGCCAGAGACAGGAATATCCACACTTTGCCACACCGTATTGGACGTGCTGATCGACTGATTATGGTGTGTCCCCATGCCTACCGCTCGGTGGACAGAGGAAGAAAGATTTGACAAACTTGCATTAGGGTCACAAGGAAGCGAGCATGGATACATTAAGTTTAATATGTGGGCTTTCGCGACCAATATACGCAAGAGGTTTTCTGGGTTAGATCGTGTGAATATAAATGTGTCGTTACTCCCACCACCAGCACCACCCAACACAGCTAATTAGTAAGGTTTGCCACGTAAACAAACGTGTCAGTTACTAGTTCAGCAATAACCAGTGTGTTGAAGAGTAAACCCACAACATCTACAATTCGAGTACGACGTTTCGCCGGTAATTACAACTAGCCTCATCAGGCGACAGCTAATTATACCGCTGTATTAATAATAATGATCCTATACCAAACGAAAACCTCTTATGGATGGACACATTAAGAGTTAAAGTTACAAATCTGTACCGCGCACAAGAGCAAGTGGGAGGGGACAGGTGTTAGCTTGATGCAGGTTCGTGAAGCATCAACAATGCCGTACTATGGTTAGTCTCGTCCCCACCACGGTAACGTGTTAGACACCGGTATTCTCAACACTGCTCATGTGAGCAGGAGGGAGGAGGAGGAAGACAACGATTGATGTTTGCGTCGCGCTGGGTGTGAGGGTGCAATGGGCAGGACTTACTCTTCAAAGCTTCCTGAAAATCCTTCCATAACTTGACGAGTTCTCTCCAGTAGACTGCCATGTGAGAGAGAGAGAAAAAAACGAGTGAACAATTTGTAAATACAGTAAAACCTTGGATTGCGAGTCACTTGGTCTGCGAGTGTTTTGCAAGACGAGCAAAAACTTTAAATAAATATTAATTTGATAAACGAGCGAGGTCTTGCAATACGAGTAGTGTACGTATACGCTTTGTCTGCCGAGCGTCACGTGATCACAACTGAGACAATGGTTCTTCTCTCTCTCTCGCTGCGGGATTGTGGGTAATCATCTCCCATGCTCGGTCTCAGTCGGTGTGCCTCACTCGTATAGTGAACATCCGTGCGAGCGTATACTGTTTACTATAGTACTATAGTATTGTGACCACGTGTATACTGTTTATTATAGTACTATAGTGTTGTGACCACGTGTATACTGTTTACTACAGTACTATAGTGTTGTGACCACGTGTATACTGTTTACTATAGTACTATAGTGTTGTGACCACGTGTATACTGTTTATTATAGTACTATAGTGTTGTGACCACGTGTATACTGTTTACTACAGTATAATGTTGTGACCACGTGTATACTGTTTACTACAGTACTATAGTGTTGTGACCACGTGTATACTGTTTACTACAGTACTATAGTGTTGTGACCACGTGTATACTGTTACTACGGTACTATAGTGTTGTGATCACGTGTATACTGTTTACTATAGTACTATAGTGTTGTGACCACGTGTATACTGTTTACTATAGTACTATAGTGTTGTGATCACGTGTATACTGTTTACTATAGTACTATAGTGTTGTGACCACGTGTATACTGTTTACTACAGTACTATAGTGTTGTGACCACGTGTATACTGTTTACTACAGTACTATAGTGTTGTGACCACGTGTATACTGTTTACTACAGTACTATAGTGTTTACTACAGCATAGTGTTGTGACCAAGTGTGTGTGCGTAAAGCATTTTTGTTATTTTGTGTCCAAGTGTAGTGACTGTTCTTTAGTAACTGTACTGCAACATCAACCCCCATGAAATCCTCAAAAGGAGGCAAAAGCAAGTGTCATTGGATAGGTTCCTTGTTAAAGTCGCACGAAAAAAAATATTCCAGTGAGCCAACAGATGCCAGTGATTCCGTTAGTGACAGTGAAAGTCGTCCTACACAATAACCCTCCTCCTCTCCTCTCTCTCGTCTCCCTCACACCAGCCACGATTAAATTAAATTAATAAATTGGATTACTTTATATTAAATTTAAATAAGAAAAATATAAAAAGGTATTTTGCATTAATTATTTTTATATGAATATTTTTTGGGGTTGTGGAACGAATCATCTGAGTTTCCATTATTTCTTATGGGGAAATTCGCTTTGATATACGAGTGCTTTGGATTCCGAGCACGTTTCCGGAACGAATTATGCTCGCAATCCAAGGTATTACTGTATAGTGCAAAGACTTTTAAAATATTGCTTCATGATTGCCCCTGTACATATCTGTCCATTGTACTTGCATTTATTTTTTGACAGATGACAGCTTTCAGCTCCAGGAACTGGTCACACTTCTGTGACGGTGGCCCACATTTACATTCATCACGACAGTTTCCAAAACGTCATAAATATTGCAAGCCATTAAAAGGATGCCAGCAATGTCTTTATAGTTACATGCAACCTGTTTCCATTTGATTATTCGTGTCTCGACGATAAATCATCAGGGCCATATTATCCAATCGGCACAGTAGGTACAGTAGGCACTGTGCCCAGTGCCTACAAATACTTAAGGGCCTACAAAAACTAAAGGGCTTACGAAGACACATTTTTACCACGTTTTTTGTTTGTATGTATGATAAGAAATAAAATGTAACCAGGATATCTTCTTGAATAAATATATTTGTATAGCAAGGATAGGCACAGTGTACAAAGAAGCAAAGTCACGTCAATGTTATCTGTGGCGCGCAGCACGCTCCCATCAATTTAGGGCACATCCTAAATAATACGTGTATCAGTAATGACGTCTGTACAGCACCTGGACGAAGTACCGTGCGAAACAAGCGGAGTGACAGCGGCGGTAGCAGTAACATGGGGCAGCAGCAGTAGCAACTGTAGAAAGTTGTCACTGAAGGCCTACGAAACAGAAGTGCCCAGGGCCTACAAGAACCTTAATCTGGCCCTGTAAATCATTGATTTTGTTACATCATTCAATCATCCCTTCAAAATATTTTGCAGAACACCTTCCGAACCAGGCAGGTGTGTGTTTCTCGCTCCTGATCACAGCCTGTAGAGTTCCCTGGTGTCCTCTCAGATGAATCCCAAACTCTCATTTGTGAAAAAATTAACATCGCCAAAACATCCTCAAGGAGTTTTGAGACTCAGTCAGGATTTCTTAGGTAAATAATGAACATTATTGTACAAGGTGGTCTAAATTAGTTTAGTGAGAAATTAATTCCGTATTTATATTTCGGGAAATTACCTATTGGGCCATCCTGTAGATCTGCCAGCATTATTTGGCTCATCATACAAATCCTGTTGCATTAATGAAAATTATTAATAATACACGTGTTTTTTTGGGGTTAAATCACGTAAATATTAATCGCCCGATTAAGCTGGTTGTAATTACCAGCGAAACGTCGTACTCAAATTGTAAATGTTGTGCCTTTACTCTCCAACACACCGGTGTGCTGAAGTAGTAACTAATTGGCACGTTTTGTTTACGTGACAAACCTTACTAATTGTCTGTGTCAGATGGTGTTGGCTTAACAACACATGCAATGTACAGATGGAAAAGGTGGAGTACATGTTTTTCTTGTCGTGCCTTCTCCTGGCAAGCCAGGGTATAGCAGCACCTCGACGCCCACAGTCAGGGAGTTCCGTAACATCTGTGTGCGGTCCACCAACCCTCGCTGCCTCCACAGTGCTGGAATACAGCAATGTATGGCCACCATCGGCAGGCTAATTTCTTGGATTACGAGAATTTCATAAGCAATTATACCACTATTGTGCTTTTTGAGGCACACACAATATTTTGGGTAGACATATTTAAATGTCTACCCAAAATATTGTACCTTTATTAAGTAAATTTTTTATATATATTTATTTTCCAGTTTTGCTCCAGAATGATATAATTCTGGGTTTTGGTATTGATAACAGCTGGGTGGTTAGTTTTCTTTTGGGGGTTATCTTTTGAAATAGTTTTTGTGAAAATATTACAAGAGTCTACGGCGCACTGAGAGATGAAATATTCCTAAGCATAGCAAAAAGCAACCAGTCGGATCTCTCAAAATATATCAAAACTGAATTTCCCACAGTCAGGCTCAATGTTTTTCCCCACACTTACTGGCATAGTGTTTTTCACTCAGCTGACCGGAAACTGTGAATGACAAAACCAATACATAGTTAACAAGGCAGGAGTGATTAAGCACATAAAAAACGGCAGTGTTTGTGTTTATGCTGATACGGAGTTGTACGAAGCGCACATTATAAACAAACCGAGACAGCATTGAAGGTGCGACCAACAGACATCACGTGTTTAGATACCAGGGGTGGAATGATTAACCGTTGAGTCTTAAGCTCACGATACGTGCAACGAATCACTCGTGTATGAGCCCATGGTGTATCCCTTTTGATTTACATTGAGTCACGGGTTCACGTGACTCTTGAAACCACGAGTTGCCACGAACATTACTGCAATTATCAAATAAATATTTAATAAATATTTGATAATCATTATTCTCGTTGGGCCAGGAAACCCTCAACAATGTCAAGACTTTTCCGGAGAGTTATGCCACATCTTTGCGGAAGAGGGTGATCTTGCTTTGAGAAATCCAAATTGTTTATTTTGCAGATAATTGATCAGCATTCGGGTGTTTGGCCAATACCAGTAATACTGTATTGTGTTTTTTTTGTTGCTATGGGAGGACATTAGGGACCTGGGCGGAAACACATGCAGAACAGGCGTAGAACAAACTGCACGCATAGAGGTGCACATGTTGGGAATCAAACTCAGGTCTTGCTGTAATGCTAAACTAAACTACTAAAACTATATTCTTAGTTTTTTCGGTAAAGTCACGTTGAAGAGAAACAACAAAATAACAAAATATATATAAAACAATAAAAAAATTCTCACGATGTTTCGACCATAACTCAAACGGTCATCATCAGGTGTGTCGGTTTGCATACATTTATGCAAACCGACACACCTGCATAAATTTATGCAAACCGACACACCTGATGATGACCGTTTGAGTTATGGTCGAAACGTCGTGAGAATTTTTTTTATTGTTTTATATATATTTTGTTATTTTGTTGTTTCTCTTCAACGTGACTTTACCGAAAAAACTAAGAATATGAATTACTGCAGTCACGAAAGCTTTAAATCAAAATTTACTAAAACTATGTTTTATTTCACCAGGTAAAGCCCACCGAGCTATGTCGCTCTTTTTCAGAATCGACCTGACCACAAGTGATGGCCCAATGAAGTGGCGTATCACGTGGACATTTATAGCAGCCGAATACTCTAAATGCGTGATGTTGATTCTAAATGGGAAGGGGAAAACTGGAGGGCCTGGGGAAAATCCGCACGACCGCAGGAAGAGACATGCAAACTCCAAATATAAAAGCATTCGGGTCGGGATCGAACCCTCGACCTCCTGTAAACCCGGCGAAGGTAGTTAACATCTCGTCACCAATTGTGTCATTGAATCGTTCCACATTGTCATGGAGGGTGGGGAGGTATTCAAATGTATTAATGGCATTACTGTATTTGTATTAAATCAACCGATTTGCTATCCACGATGTTCGCCGTCATTACTTTGAATGCTGTTTTAATTCGTAGCAATCTAGGCCCTGATTACTTTCATGTAGTCAAACTTTTCGTTCAAGTTAACCGTCACAACACCCACTATATGCGTGCAATTTTCAGTCTTTAGCGTGAGTAGCAACACTCACGGCTGACCGTCTCTTCTCTCACACAAATACAGTAGGCCTGTATATTTCAGAGTTCAACGTTGTCGATGTTAGGATTTGTAAAACAAATTGACGATCTTTTTTTTACTTTCAGATC